CACAAATGTTTGTATTCAACCCTTAAGTACTTTTGCTTAACAACGCATTAGCATCCAAAGCACTTGCAAAGTGGAAACTGAAAATCAGCGCTATAATCTTAACCCGCTTTCCATTACTTCCGCTATGTTGTGTTGTTGGTGCGTACATTTTCGCACTTCCGTCGTATCCTAGTATTAATAGCCCAGCTTAAGCGTAGACTTACGCGAATACGATTATTATTGCTGTTGCTACTAGTCGCTTTGCTATTTTTGTTGTTATTGCTGCTGTTGTCATTGCCATCAAAGGAAGTACATCATTAAGCGCATCCTAATGATGTCTATAACAACCAATAAGCGTACAAACCCACATTCACTTCAACCGTTGCATGCGCTATTCGTACTTAACCTCACTATACTGACGACGCTTGGGCGACTTAAGTGCAAGTAGATTCTGTGTCTATGCGAGGTATATGTGTGGTGATCATTATCAAAAGAGTGCGCATTAGTGTAATAGTATTTAGCATAAGCACAAACCAGATAGTTCAAAGCTTAGCTGAAAAAGGTGGCAAAACGAATGCAAGATAAAAATGGGCATGGTTGTGAGCAGGTGAAGAGAAGGGAAGCAAAGAGAAGAGTTACCAGTCTGAAGTGCACTTGCGCATACATACATACGTGCATATACAGATTACAGTAAAAATTCGACAAGTGTCGACTGTTCACTTTAGCATTCAAGGTGCTCGCTCTGTCACTTCAACAATTTCGCCACTTAAATGCTTTACCGATTCGTTGCTGCCACGACACTTACCCAGAGCCACTTCAGCTCGCTTAAAGGCTAAGATTGAATGAACCAAACTGAATTTCGTGATGAAGGTGAAGGTTAAAGAAAATCAATTTTGTCTCCACATAGTATGTATGTATGTATGTGTGTGTTCGCAAGCACTTGTGCAGTTGCTAAAGATTTGTGTGAAGTGAAAGGCGATTATTTTTCCACTCAAAGACACTAAATTTAGTTCGGCAGTCAATAGCTGTCGACGACTGGTTGAGAGATAGAGCAGAGCAGCATGCAGATATATAAAAAAAAAAATATATATATATATACAAAGGAAGCCATTTCCAACTTTTGGTGATTTGGTTTTCACTTTGTTGTGCATTCCTTTAACGCCATGCCTCTTTCTCTCACCTTTATTTTATTTTTATTTCTATTATAGTATTTTATCTTCTGTTGTTGCTGCTTCGCTGCTCTGGCAGCATTTTTATTGACTTCCGGCTTTCATTAGTCGCAAGTTAAGTGAAAAGCACGTGCAATGCTTGCGTGAATTTGTCGAAAACGTGCGACTTACTGAAGGATTTATTATGTACCGTTAGTAAATAATTTATTTTATAACCGGTGAAATGCGCTATGAAAGAATTTTGAATATGCATTATTGCTTGCGATATTTACTGTATGACATTAAAAAAAAAAACGAGTGTTAATTTTACGAGCAGAAATGTAGTCTGTTTCATTTAGCGCCCTGTGATATGCTATGAAATTAAATTTAGATGAAAGTAATACCTGCACAAAGTTGAAAAAACACAGAGAGTAAATATTTTTGTAGATTATATAAATTAAAGTTAGCAAAACGTGTTTTTATAGATTAAAAATAAAAAAAATAAAAAGAATAAATGAAAGTCAAGATATTCACCACAATTTAAGCTATGTATTTGTTTACAATTTTATACCACAATTCTGTTTTTTTTTGCATGTTGAACTCACAACTCACTCATTCTGTGATGGTGCCATATAGGCTATAACTGTAAGAATTTATTTGTGTACCCCTCTATACCTATGTGTAGCTAGTAAACTACTTATTTACAAAACGACAAACACCATATGGTCAATTGCGAATCCCGGTGCTTGGTTGGTGAACGCATATTTTTCTTTCACTTGTAAAATTATTTTTCCCCAGATTTTCACAAGCTACTTACGTGAGCTTGTATTTTGTTGTAAGCTTTGATGACAATGCAAATTACATTTGCCATACCAGCGTGCCACATATGCTTACGCGCCCTCAATAACCGCTATAGCAGAATTCACATGCAGTTCTAACAGAAAGAGAGCAAGGGAAAAGAACGAATACCATCTGTTTTGCTAAGCTTCCCTGTAGAAAAATATATATGGTTTCTTTATCCATTTACTGAAAGTTGATGTATCCTAGTTGTTTTTAAAAACCAAATTTAATTTAATAAAAAAAATTGTTTTTTTTTACAGGGGAAAACACTTCCTTCAACCTTTCTACTTCTTCTCGAAAAGTTTGTTCAAAAGCTTAAATACTTTTGGAAAATATTTTCGGTAGTCAAAATATTAGACTCATGCAACATATTCGATCCAAGGCTCACTGAGGCACAAAGTACCAGAAGTAAATTTGACCCGAACAAAAGAAAAACTACATTTTAACTTATTTTAATGCAAATATTTATTTTTGCCTTAGAAATAGGCTTTTGAGCCTTACAAACCAATTGTTATAAGTCTCGGCCGGGATGATCTTCAGTGAAATTTTGTTTCTCAGTTTCGGCTTATTTTTAGAACACCTTTCCTAGATTGACAGTTTCGACAACACATTCATAAGCCCACGTCTTATCAGCAGCAATAATGCGTTTGATATATGTAAGGACCTCAACTACGTTGTCAAGCATCTCTTTTGGTACGAAGCTAGCATTGATACGCTTCATACACAAAATATCCACCAAAATGTTTTGAATCGATACATAAGAGACATTCTGCTATGTCTTTAGTGCAGACACAACGATTTTCAAGCACTGTTTCTTTAACTTCAGTTAATTTTATTTACTTCTATTGTCAGTCGTTTACTTAAAACCTGTAATTCTCATCAGTTTTATGAATATGTTGATATAACGTTACAGCAAAAATCTCAGCACTACTAATTAGTTTCTGCGTCTAATACTTATTGCAGAACATAACCAGGACGAATAGATTTACACCGGCAGCCGATAGAGATGAGTACTACTATCCCCAAGGGACATGGTCTCGAGCTTAGTATATGATAAATATAGAAAACTTTTTAAATGACAACGACTTTTATAGAAATCTAACAGTCGTCTGAAAGAATTAATAATTTCCGGCATACTCTCCATGCATAAGAAACCCATGATTATATTTTTCCTACTTGGTACCTTAATACCAATACATATACTCATGTATGTGTCGAAGCAGCTCTGAGAAAAGTCAACGTGCCACATATTTATGACGTACGAAATCTTTTCAAAAACGTCCAATGATGACAGCAAAATATTTCTACACCCACACACAGCCCAACAAGCAAACATATAATAATATGTGGGAGGTTAGCAAATAGGTGCCGTTATTTTTTGCGGTTGTGTAGTTATTGAAAGATATGTACATATACATATACTTACACAAGTATATATATGTATATAGTTTATATACATCTATGGGAACTGTGCAAACGCATGAATATATTTGTATGAGTGAGAGGTATGAAATGAATTGGCTGTCGCCCATTGCTGTCAAGCTGCGATTTCTGCTGAGATTTTCTTGTTGACGTAGAATGACAGTAAAATGACATTGTTGTTGTTGGGTATGCTGAATTTTTACTGCTTAGCTGCTATTTGCTCGTCTTGTGTGCTTGTTTTTGCAGTGAGCCCCAGCAATGCACTTACATCAGTAAACGGAAAATCGAATTTGCGGTTTTTTGAGCTTTTCTCCTTTTTTTGAAAGCATATCATTTTAGTTGAAGTAATTTTATTGTAAATATGCACTCTTACTGGCGTGTGTAAATGCTTTCTGTAAATAATAAATAATGGTTTTCAAATTGTAATTGGAGTTATAATTACTATTATAAAAATCTTTGATTTGAGTGATCACAAAATTCAAAGCTTTTATTTGAACGAATATGAATGATAAAAGAGACCGAGGCGATTAGGTTAGAATAGCATACTTTCGTTTCAAAAACACTTCACTGACAGTTATGTGATTGCTTCGCTCAGCTTATGCTAACGTCACGTATCAAAGATGAAGACCAGAAATGAAATAGTGTTTACGATCCTGATACTGTAACAGCCAATCGCGTGCAATTATGGTTTCGTCGCTTCTGTTCAGGTATTTATCGGTATAAGTTAGCGAAAAAAAACAACTCAACGTGGTCGAATTGCGGTGAGCCGGTGTTAGCGACGGTATAGCCAGGATTAATGGAATTGTTTGGGAATTATCTTTTATGAGCTGCTCTAATGAAATAAATGCTTTTGATAATTTTCTGTCAATAAATACGGCAACTCTGTTGGGAAAGTTTCAGCATATATATTCTGAAAATTTCATTTTAGCAAAAATATCTTATTAGAGATGTTGTGATGTGCAATTTCACTAGTGTTTGTGAGAAAAAAGTGAATGTTTATAATCATATTTTGTTGTTGGTTGTCTGTGGAAAGGAGTGAGTTCATCATCAACTAAAGCCAAATAACACTAAAAAAATTTTAACGATTCTGTGGAAGTTCGAAACCTTTTTAGCAACATTTATATTTTCAAAATAATTATTGTCAAGTCAAAAATATAGCCGAAAGTTTTAATCAACTGCTAAGAGGCAATTGCTGCAATAAATTTTTAATATTATATAATATAAGAAAATAATATAATATTTTTTTCAATTATATAGACATGTAAATCAGCGTTACGAATTGAGTCGACTTAGCCATGTCTGTTACTGTTCTGAAAATTTTCACACATCAATTTCTCCCTAAAAAGTTGTTCTTTTGTAGGGACTGCCGATATTGGATCACTATAGCATATAGCTGTCACACAAAGTGAATATTCATTATTTGACAAGATATCCCCACGAAATTTGGCATATATGTAATCTCCGTACAGTTGGTCAGATCGGACCACTATAGCATATTTATAGCATATCGAACCACTATAGCATATAGCTACCATACAAACAGAATAATCAAAATCAATTCCTTGTATGGAAAAAAGTTTATTTAACAAGATATCCTAATGAAATTTGGCATGGTTTAATATTTAAGGCAATTATGCAATCTCCGAACAGTTGGTCTGATCGAAAAACTATAGCCTAAATTCTTGTATGGAAAACTTTGTATATTTGTTAAGGGTATAAAAGCATCGGTGCAACCGAAATTGAGGATTTTTCTTGTTTTTATTAATAAATTGAACTAGAAAATTTGAAGATTTTTCTAATATTTTAGCATAAAAAATCACAAATTTATTATTTACGCGCTATTTGTATGATCACCTCTCTTGTTTTATTTACTACGCACTGCGTGCATATGTACGTATATATAAATATGTATATAGATATTGACTGAATTCAAAATACACTGCAGCACTATTACATCATTCATGCAGTTGCGCCAAATGTCCCAACAACTGTATGCCCCTTCGATTGTATATGATGAAGAAGAACGGATGATCGACACAGTACATCAATGGTTTAGAGCGCAACGACGAAAAGGCGTTCCAGAACAACACCACTACAAATGAGAGTACACAAATTAAGCTTACAAATACGCTCGTGTCGTACATAAAACGGTTCATTCATGCGTTCAATCAATGTTTCAGGTAATTAAATTGAAATTCATTGCTTACTCGATTCCTGCAGCTCACCAATGCCATCCTCACTCACGGCAAAATGCGCCTCCTGTGTCACCTGCCAGGCGCTGGGCCAATGCAGGTCCACATTTGCTGTGGCATTTAGTAGCTGAAATTAAACGCAACTCTCAAAATGCGTGCGACTGCACAATAGCCCCAGTGCAATATAAGCAATACAAGCATATACAAGGAGCTGGTGCTGTTTGTATTGTTGTTTTTGTACTAACCTGCTTGAAAGCGCCGTCCAAATTAGTGCGTTGTGAGAATTTGAATTGTGGCAAGAAAACGCGCACCAAAGTCGACTCCAAATGGCGGCGTAGGCGACCAGCTGCGCTTGTAGTTGCTGTCTGCTGTTGCTGTTGTGCGTCGCCTAAGTCCGGCGTGTCGCCTGTCAGGCCACACAAGTCATCGAGCAATGTCACATTGGCACTTAGACGCTGCAGCAGTTGTGGCAAACCATTCTTTGCATGTGGTAATATGATGAGCATTTTCAATTGCTGCCGCTGCAAGGACAGCTCTAAGGCGCTGGCATTCAATTGCGGCAATTCACCATAAAGGAAGATGTCGTCTTTGCGCATGGCGTTTAGGTAGGCGTGTGTGTGCGTTTGTGGCATGTAGAATTGGCGCTTGTGTGTGTCACGCTTTTGGAAGTTGTGCGCCCAGCGTGAATTTATGCGCACCACACTGATTAGTTCGTTGCGTTTGCTGCATCCACTGTCTTTGTCGCTCTTGTTGTTGTTGTGCTTGCTATTGCTGTTAGACGCTTGACTGTTTCTTGCCACTGCCGCATCATTATTATCGATTTTGCGGCCTTTGTCGCCATCTTCAATGCTGGTGTTGTCCAAGCTTTTGTTATGCGCCCCGCTCTCTTCGTCACTCTCCTCGTGCAGCACAAATTGCAGATTTTTCAATTTCCGTGTGAATCTTTGTGCATTGTAGACATCGGCATATAGCGTGTTGTTCACCAAAATCGGACTGCCTGTGATGTGGAAAAACTCTTCGAACTGCTGCATACCGCTGTCATTGGCGCTGGTGACTTCATTGCTTGCGGCATCGTGCTGTGTGGCGGCTGCAGTGGCGATTTCTTTGTCCGTGCCATGCAGTTGCAGGTACAATTCCAGCATTTCCTGTGGTGCAATCACAAAATTCCTTGCTGCATCCGCCTCTGCCAGTATGTGTGCCAACAATAAATGCATTAAATCGGTGGCGTTGGCACTGCTGGCAGTTGTTGTTGCTGTAGTGGTGGCGGCCAAGGCCAGTGCAAGATTTGAACTGCATAAGAGCCAGAGTGAAAAGTCTGTAAATCGCAATTTTTTTTGCTTTCTGTTTCACTTCAAATTTTAGAATCTTTATTTTCAGCACTTACATGTGAAAAGCCTTCTGCCGAACATATTAATGCTTTAAAATTTTTCTTTAGCGCGACATTTCAACTTTTAAACAATCACAGCAAGCAAATTTCACTACTAAATATTTAGAAACCTATAATAATTCAAGAGCAGATGATGTTCGAGCGGAAATCTACAAACTCATTAGGGTGCTTCTTATATTTCAATCAGCTCGTGATATACAATTTTCTAGAAATCATAATTTTAAACAAATCAAATGCTGCAACGCTCTCGAATATACCGACAAGAATAGTTATCTCTCACAATATTGTGCCTTGAAACAAAAAAAAGTGGTTGACCTAATAATCGAGCTTAGGTATATTATAAGCGCTTATCATATTTCAAATGCTTATCAGTTCTTGCGGTTTTTCGGCAGCAAAGCATGCTTGAAACATTGACTAAAACTTCGAACTTGATTTTTGCTATAATTAAACATCTCATACATAAAGCTTATATTTTATTCGACAATATGCTTGCAAGTATAAGGTACAGATGTAGTATTTATGAAGCGTTACGGTTTCATATTTTCAGTAAATCCATTAATGACAATAACTGATAATTTCTATGTTGGGCTTGAGAAGTGAGTGTTCAGATGCTCCAAAATTTGTTTCATAAAAGCGTGTGAATCTTCCTGACAGCTTCGAAGGTAGGGATCAGGGAAGTTATTTACCCTTGCAGAAATCAAACAGCGACCGATATTACAGATTTATCTTACTGAACTCATAAAGCTCCCTAAACTCATACCGGATATTGTGCAATGTTCGCTTAGCTTAGTCCTCCAAAAGTAGACTAGAATGATAACTTGAAATCCAGCAATAATGTAGTAAGGATGCCCTTCATAATATGAATGCAAGAAAAGAATAAACGATTTTAGTATTTAAATGTAGATTTCGAGCTCAAATAGCATTAAAATTAGTATATCTCAATCGCATACAGCAGGTATATACATAATCTAAGCTAAAAGTGAACGTAAACAGCTTTTGTGCTTTCATATGCACACGAGGGGAGCTTTTGTGCTTTCACATAAATATCACAGATCTGGTCTTTCCATAAGCCTGCGATTGTTCAGATTTCCTATTTACAGTACGGATTTATTAAATGAAAATTCAAAAATAGTTCTATAATTGTGACAAAAATGCCCTTAAAAGATGTAACATATGATTTGCTGTTTCGTTGACACTTTCTATTTCCTGAGCCAGAATTTTAACCAGCTGCGATGACTAGGAGGTACCATGATCATACTTTTTTTGTGGATCTGTAGGCAGATTAAATCCGTTACTGTTAGCAGTTATCAAGAGCATTATCAAATCTTTCTTGATTTTGACAGGCATCACGAAACTTAAACTGATCCCTAAGGTCCAAACATTGTATCGTATAAATGGTAAAAAACACTTTAAAACAAACCTACATATATATGTTTTATCAATATTCATTGCATTGGAATGATTCAAACGTGCGTTAAACAATATCATCAAACATTTCATGTTAACACCAAAAAAAAAAGCTGTAAAAAGAACACGACACTCGTTATGCTGAGTATCACAGTTTGTCTCAATGGCACGAAACGGGGCAAAAGAAGCAGAAGTGCAAAGCGAAGCATGACAAGAACACATGTGTAACCCGAACAAATTGTTTTCAATTTCGAAAATTGTTGTAACTAAGCGCGACAGACAGCTTAACAAACAAGAGCACTTCGCTCCAAGTGGGTATTGAAGGAGTGGGCGGTGTGCGTGTGTAGAATATATGCATATACATATTTTAGTTGGGTTGCTCAACAATTTTATGTGATTTCGAATATTTCTGCATTTATAAGATTTGCTTAGAGAACCACTTTGTAGAACTGATGATCTGAAAATTTTTAGTGATTTTTTCTTCGAACATTTTGTAACTGGGGTCATCTCCTTGAAAATCTAAATGAAATGAAAAATAGTTCAAGCTATGTGCTTTATAATAGTAGAGAAGCCTTTGAATACACAATTCCATTCTTTTAATAAGTGAGAGTTTATCAAATAAGGTAGAATTCAACCTTTATTTTTAAAATAACTTGTTGAGTATTACTTGGAAACCAGTGATTTTTTAAATATTCCATCATCATACTCATCATATAGAGACATAACAATGAAACTCCGTTTTGACTTCAAGTGGAAGTGCGACTTGACCGGTCACTTTGGAAGGAATCAATTAAAAAAATGTATGCTAACGAAAATATTCCATGCTTGACGCAGCCGAAGGTCCATGTATGTATACCATAGCATGTCAACGCACTTTTTGTTCTTTTAGTCACACAACTTGAATCTAATATTGACAGTATTCGCATGTTAATAAATAGTCAAATTTTCCACCTGGAACATTTACAGCATATTTGAAGTGATTCAGTGACACCTATTTAAAGAAAATAAATTAGCATTTTAATAGAAAGATCTACAGCTTGTGAGAACCAAAATTTTTAGGCTTATTCAAGACTATCTGTGAACTAATTCAATATAATTACTTTACGAATTGTTTACAATTATGAAGTAGTTATATGTGGTACTAGATACTAACTACTTACTAAATAACAGGGCATATTAAGTTTGTCACGTTGTTTCTAACAATCAGTAGGAGACCCTTTAAAGCAGATTTATAAATGAACAGCTTGACGAGTTGAGTCATGTCCGTATGTATACACATATGCGATCTGAAATTTTACACACATTCTTTTCTCCCTAAGAAGCTGTTTACTTGTTCGAACCGCCGACATTAGACTACTATACGTTATAGCTGCCATACAAGCTGATCTATTAAATTCAAGTCGCCGTATTGAAAACTTGCTTATTTGACAAGCTGTCTTTATGAAATTAGGCATAGATTATTGTTCAAGGCAGCATTATAATCTCTCAAGAAATTTTGTAGTTCGGTTTACTATATATCATATAGCTGTTTTTATTATCCAAGACAGCGCTACAATTCTTAAACAAACTGCTCATATAGAAACGCTAAAGCATATAGCTGCAAAATGATCGATTCGATTAAAATCAAGATACACTTTTATGTTATACTATAAAAAATACATCCACGAAGGGTATTATACAATAGTTTCGGTGCTGCCGAAGTTAATGTTTTTCTTGCCTTACAAAAAACGGGTAAACTTCAAGTAACCTACTTCTCTTCGAGCAGGCTACATTATGAACGCGCATTGCTTGCAAGATCATGTTGCATGGCATTGCTGCAAGATATATTCGCCGTTACATGAAAAGTTCTGTACCTGCAATTGGCTACTTGTCGTTGTAACTGCTGGCTTCATGTCCTTGTAAAAGTGTTCTATTTCTTGCGCTGTGCACTTGCCAAGCTGGGAAACATGATTTTTCCCGAGTAACTGTATTTCTATTTCATGTTATTTTTGCTCGCATTGCATTTTGTATTCCTTTTTCTGCTACAGGAGAGTTCAGGTATATTTACACGGATTTTATGCTTACGTGAGCGTTAGTGTTTGGATGTGTGCGGGCGTGTGGGCGTGCGTTTACATGTGTATTGGTCCATCTACGCCGCTCGCATAACTTTCTTTCTAATTCCGTTGTCGCTGTTGCCTTCAACACGGGATTTATGCAAAATCCTTGAATTGTTTCGCAAAGCAGAAACACTTACAACGGTTAAAATGGAAGTAAGCAAAACGAAAGTACAACAAAAATACGAAATGTACATTTTAAAATGATCTAGTGTGTATGTGTGTCTCTTTTATGTGTGCATGTGCATATTTGTTGCAAAATCCTACACAAAATCTGCTCACGTACGATTTGCTTTTATGTTTTTTTATTTCTCTGCTCCTACATATCTGTATTTCTGCACCGAAAAAAAGAGAGAGAGAAAATCAAAAACAACTAGCAGACAGACAGACCTGCCACAGCCAGTGCAATGTCGCAGTTTTGGACTGTGTGTGCGTGGGGATCTCAAAGGATATAAAGCACAATATGCTTCAGTTATGAGTGCAAACGATTCGAGTTGAAAACGAAACATCAGAAACAACAGCAATAACAACAACAGTATGCTTGTAGTAAAAGCCAGCAAATCCAACTGATACGCACTCACGAAGCAAAAGATAAAAGCGCAGTTGTGCTTTCTAAGCTACAAGCATAGATAGTAGTACTCCCACACACACACACACATAAACGCACACACGCACATGCAGATAACTGTCTGCTTGTTTAGTTACAATAACCATATTTATTTGTTTTTTGCGAGCACTCCTGCAGCTTTGCCGTTGCCGGTGCGGGTGTGTGGCAGCAGACAGTTAGCTAAACGCCTGAGGTATTACAACCGGCTGGGCATTGGAAATCTTTCGAAATTTTACACCTGCTAATACTCACTAGCAAATGCACATGCGTGCGTATGCATATTTATGTAGTTTTAACTTTGTTGCATATCTATATACTAGCTACATATATGTATATATATTTATATAATATGCTACAATTTCATGTGGTTTTTTTTTACCGTTTTTGGTGTGAATGTGTGTTTGTGCTGCACGTTTGGCACGTACTTGTAGCAAAGAACAAAATGTCTGCCCTTTTATCTGACTCTATTTGTCTGTGAGGGTGTGTATTCTGGTTTATTTAGCTCATATAAAGAATGTTTTTCTTTGAATTTAAATTGTTTTAAGTTTAGTAAGAGACATTGTTGCTCTTTAAATATTTGGTAATTTTCAAATTTTATCAATTATTACTCTTAATAAACTACCTGTTGCCATATATTTAAAAAAACAGATACGTGTGGTACTTGGGGACTGCCGCGATGTGGTAGCTATTTACCAAAATAATAATAATGTTACTAATATTATGACTCCGAATAGTAAATAAATTATATTTTATTGATAGAATTTGTATCTGCCATCAAAAAAAAAATTATCTTAAATATTATTATTTTTGAATCACCCTGCTCTCCAATTGATTTCTTCCCCTTGAGATATGCGAAAATATGCCTAAAGGTATGCAAACATTTCGCGCATATTTTGTGATCGTGTTAGGTTCATTTCCGTTACGGAATTTCTTGATTCAGTCCCCGCTTTCAAAGCCTGCGATAAAAGCTATGTAATAGCTTAATAATCCTAATAACATTTTTGTTTTATTGTTAATTATAATATATGCATTTCTTTGTTATAGCTGTTAATTTATTCAGTTAAAACGTATTTAGATCGTTAAGATTGTGTGGCAGTATATATTATAGTTATCCGATCTGAACAATTTCTTCGGA